TAATAGTTGACGTAATAAAAATGGCGAACGACAAAATTTGCAAGCAAAGAATTCTGGTCTGCATCTTACAAACCCCTAGCAAAACATGTATACAATCTTTTTGTTAAACAAGAAATCCATTCTCTTGATGCCATTAAAAATAATCTTTATTTTCATGGATTTAATCTAACAAGAAAAAAAACTAAATGATTTCATTACAAGATTTTTCTGGTATAACAGCTAGCTTAAGGGTACAATAAAGACTTGACATGTTATCTTGGGGGGAAATAATAATAATAAATAGCATTGGCAATATTTAGCCCAAAACTGTTTAGTCAATAAGTTGAAAATTTGACGCTTATATCCAAAATAGACAAATCCAGGTATACTGCAAGATGAATTCCAAATCAGACTGAAATCTTCAACAAAATTTTGAAGAGCACTTTTACTTTGTGTCCACCATTCTTTTATCAACTGTTACTTCTCTGGAAGACTGGAGGAAATTCTTTGACTTGTCCAAGACATTATAATTTGCTTTCAAGTTCAAGTGATCAGCTTCTATCCAGTAAATGATTTAAATATTTTGAAACAGATACATGTCATTGTGTATATGAATTTACATTTATAAATAAAATTAAGAATGCTAAAATTACTACATTTATTTGATTTTCCTTTTAAAATTAAGATTGCATCTATTGTGTGATTCAAGTAGTTAAATGATATTGTTAAGTCAATGTATCAGGACTGATAATTCAACAACCTTGTAGTAAACCATTATGGTAAAATTACTGAACTAAAACAAATAGCATGTATGGCAATCTGACTAAAGCCAGACCTCTGTTTACGCTATCGCAACATATAAAAAAAATCTGGCAGTGGATGGAAGATCTAATTTTAATTAGATTGCTATGAAAGCCATGAAAGGACACAGCAATTTTTCAAAAAAGTAAAAAATGAGATCTCAAATTAGACAATCCAATTCCACGGATACTAAATCATTCCCTCGATTTATAATTCGAGATCTCAAATTACACAATCCGATGTTACAGATTACTAATTCACCCCCTTGATTCATAATTTGATATCTCGAATTACATACTAGTAATTCGTTTTCACAAATTAATAATTCGAGATTTGTTACAACGTCAGTCCTATGATTTTGGCAATCTGTGCTCTTGAATTTTATTACATATATGTACAGATACATCCAACCATTTTAATCAATTAGTGCGTTCACTTCTTTTTATATAGTTTCAGCAACCAGTCATTTCCAACCTCTTTCATAACTAATTCAACATATATTTATTTTAGAAATATTATGATTACACAGGACCCATATTCACTTTACTATATCGGACTTTCAATTATCTTAATATACACATAACACAAAAACCTCTAAGATTTTTTGTTGTACTAATATCAGTGCTATCATATGAAAATGTTCATGTATTTTTCTCATTTTGGACCGTAATATGTAATAAAAGGTTGGATGTAAAATACTACAATATTCTATTCTTTAAACATGTATTACCATATCCGATATGTACAGATAAATAATTTTAATGAAATCATGGGAAGGGTTTACATTCCCAGGGAACATATCATTTAAACTAAGAGAATGAATTATACAATCTGAGATAATGGATTGTGTAATTTGAGGGAAGATAATATGTGAGAATATGAATTGGCAATTTGCTATAACAGATTGTCAATCCGAGAGAATGGATTGTGTAAATCTAGAACTCGGTTTACTTTTATAAATTTTTATAAATTTTTAAAAATTCTATGTCCCTTCATGGCTTTCAAAGATTGCATACCTGCATGGCTGCCAGGGTTGTAAAAAGGAGGGAGACAATAGACTGCAATGTTACTTCAGAGCAAAATTCCTGGGGCAAGGCTGTTCGTGAGCATGGGAGTGTTGATAAACCATCCAGTGAGTTTGACCACCCATATATATGATGTTCGATAATTGGAAAGTGTCTGAAAAAATGAGAAAATGGAAATTCTAACCACAAACTTTATGCAGATTGGAAATACAACTGCAGTCTATAAATGAATGCTATATCATGAGAATGACACAAATGAAATTTGACTTTAATTTTTGAAATTTTAGAAATACAGAAATTTTCAACAACAAAACAAAAATTTACCTGTTCATTGGTGTCCTTACATATTAATTGGCATTCGTAGTTCATGGTGGGCTTAGCAAGTGGGTATTCACAGATGAAAGTATTGTTGCATATGGTGCCAGCACCCTAAAAATTCAAAGTGAAAGTGGTATATATACACACTGGTACACACATACTGAAAACAACTATCAGTCTATTTAATATTATGGCAACTTTGATTTTACTTTGAACTTACGAGTGTTTGTCATAAAGAGACATATAAAACCTTCAAAAGCAACACAAAATTGGCTGAACAATACGAAATACGCACACTGAAATATGAAGATCTACTACATGTCTACATTTAGTTTTCTTTTGAACGTGAACTAATTGCGTTTTAAACTTAAACTATTCAGTCAATATACACGTATTCTCACCTGCTAATACCAAAGGATGTCCGTATTATTTGATTCATTGATGTGATGATCTTCGTCGTGAAATAATCATGAAAATTGACGTTCAGATTTCGGATCACCATCATGTTGTTTGTTTACTGCTACCACAGCGGAAACACGTGGTTATCTCAATTCGTATCAACTCATACAGTGATGAGTCGTATTTATTTATAAATGCAAATTCTTGTATTGTTAAATTTCGTGCCATGTAGATCTAATTAATTTCCAAATTAAGTATACAATATAACAAGATACAACTATATTAAAATCTGATTTTTTTTTAGTAAAGATCGACGTTTAGGGAATCTACAATTTTTCTCAACATTGTACATCACTACATGAAATTTTCATCATTACATGTGGATGAATAAATTGACATTTCATTTCACACAAAGGCAGAAAGATAGTATATATAAATTTTTTAAAATGTATTTTTGTATCATGCATTTATTTCAGTAAAAATATATATATATTTAAATGGTCAAAAAGTCGTATAAAAGAATTTGTTGTTTCGAGTAAGACGCAACAATATCGACCTTGACGTTACATGGTAAATATGACCGATTTTTCCATAAAAACTATGCGAAGGTCACAAATTCAAATTATCGTAATTAAGAAAATACTGAGCGTAAGAAGGCCTGTAAGGGTTTGTTGGAAAGGAAATTTTCTCCACTTTTACCAGCTTTATTTTGTTTTCCCTATTTCAATACAGAAATAAACGTAAAACTGAGCTTTGTTTAAACATTACGAATAAAACCGAGAAAAAACACATAAGTGCAAGAAAATTATGGTTTTTAAAATATTCCTCAAAGAAATAATAATAATTTTTATATATTTTAAAAGTAGAGAAAATATGCTTTAAGAATATACCATGCTTTCTTTATAAAGTTAAACAGGAAAAAATTGTCAATCGTCTGGAAAATCGGCAATCGCTTTGGAAAATTACGCCATTTTCAAAAAGTCACGTTTGTCTTTACAACGTAAAATAGATTAAATACCGGCAATCAAGACATAATCTTTTTAGATATTCTAAAAGTAGAGAAAATTTCCAAAAAGATGATATATAGTTTACATACCTTCATGCTAGCATTAAATAGATACGAAGATCTTATTTTCGCGAAGTCGTGTTTTAACGCGCCACCGGTCAATTTGACCGGTACGGAAGTGAAGGGGTTAACAAAACCCACTGCGTTAATCACTGCATGAACTACATTAGGCATGTTGCCTGTTCAGATTTATTGATCAGTGGCTGTTCCACCAATGAAATGTATAAAGACGTTCGCGTCATTAATACAATAATTAATCTTTTTAATCCTACTTTTAATGATTATTTAAACAGATATAAATATAAACAATAAAATGTCTTTCTTTGTTTGTTATTACTGGAATTAAAGGTCGCAGCTATTGCAGAAAAAATTTACATAACCTGCTTACGCGGGTTTTGTATTTTTTCTGCAACAACTGCTTCCGTTAATTCCAGTAATAACAAACAAAGAACATGAAGAAAGCATTTTATCGTTCAAATGAATGATACTTAAAAACATTTACAGTAAGTCGTAAATTTTTCTGTGAAAAGGGATGCAAATCTATCTTACCATGTTTTACATAGCGTTCTATTCAACTTTGATTTTGTGATACTGTGTATCATTTTTAATTTGAATATTTAAAATTTTCAGCCGAACCAAGGGTATAAAGCATCACTGGAAAAAAAGGAGCCCATATCTTTGTACAAATAGCCATGTTCTTTAAAAAATGATACGCTTTTAATGCGATCATGTGGGAAAAGTCTACTTCTGGAGAGCAGTGGACACCAAGGTTCATCTTCTTCTCACCTTGAGTTAAGAGGTTGGTATACTAGTAAGTGTACCAAGACTGACCCCCATAGACGGTAGGTGTGACGTAACGGTCAACTGCTAACCCTCTACGTACATTTAACATTGAGTGATAATATTCATGTACAGGGGAAGAGAACATCGGTCACAGTTTGCCTACACCAAGGTAAGTACCGTCATTTCTATCCTCTTTTTGGGCCTGTGTGCGATTGTAAAATCTTTGAAATTCTGAATACAATTTACATAACTAGAGGCACGCAACATCATTATCATTGCAACTAAGTTAAAAAATTAAAAGGGGAAATCTCTCGAAATCGGAAATCCCTTGATGACAACGATGTGAATAAAATAAGTGGGGGTGCATCTTTTAGTTTAAAAAAAAGACACTTTCTTAATAAAGATTTGGCATGCAACAATAAGTGAGAATAGACTTTCAATAAATATTTTCATTTAAAGTGCATACCTGATAGATACGTTTTTGATGCACTCAGAGGAGGCGAAAATGCATCTTTCTTTTGTTTCTCCTGAGTGAAATTGCAATTTAATTGCATGGACAGGGGGAGGGGGTGAGTCCTCTCCCTTCCCAATCCTACAGGTGTCCTCAAAGCACCAATTCTTATTTTCAGATGGAATTGAAGAAGAGAACCCTCAGCAAATCCCAGGTACCAGCATACTTTCACATACCATACGTAGAGATTGGATATCGATACTGCCACCAGCCATGGAAATTCTATTTATACAGCATCTTCTACAACAACACGGAGACTCTCAACGTCTGGACACATGTTGTGGGCACGTTAGTGATGACATCGCGCATTTACCAGATATCCGTCATCTTTGACCTTTATGACCCTTATACTTGGCCACTGCTGACGGCCCTTCTGTCTTTCTTTGCAACGTTTTTGGCTAGCAGCATGGCTCACATGTTTTCACACAAATCAAAAGATGTAAATTGCTGCATGTTTATGGTAGACTTTGCGTGTATTGGTCTCTTTGGATTTGGTGCCGTTTTGAATCACCATCACTACTCCGTACATAAGAATGCTGATAACACAACTCCGTGGCGAGTACTACTCGTTGGTACAATTCTAGCAGTCTTTTGCTGCACCTGTGGTGCCATCTCTAAAGCTGTCATAACTCACCCAAAACATCGTACCATTTTCCCTACTGCTGGAGTTGGCATTTTATATCTTTTATCCATTACTCCAATTGTGGACCGTATTCTGAATTTCGAGACAACTGGGGGAATTTATCACCATGGCATCCAAATATTCAACATGGTCGCCACCGGGTTCTTTTACTCTGCGCGACTTCCAGAGCGTTTATTTCCTGGAACATTTGACTTCATTGGAAACAGCCACCAAATATTTCACTTGCTTATGATCCAGGCATCAGTAAGTCACGTGGATGGTGTCATCTGGGACATGTTATTCCATAAACTTTTCGTCAGTCTCCCGCGGGTCACAGCCTCATTTTGGAGTACAACTGGCCTCGTTTTCGTTATAGTGGTAATTGATGCCTTTATCATACAGCGTTTTTATTTTCATTTCAAAAGAAAAAGTGTTTGTGATAACTTTAGCTGTCTCTCTGAACACAACAACAATTTGGAACAGAAGAACTAGCTTACATACATGTATACCCTTTCTGTTGATTTATGTTTCGCTTGGTAAACAGAAAACTTAACAAAAATGTCCAAGTAGAATAAAAAAATTTATTGCAACAAAGAAATTACAAGTACAATTGAATAAATGGTCCCCGCACCCAAAAATAAGCTGACAAGCCAATAAAATACCATTTTACTCCTCAATGAAATTTTTGCAGTATGCACAATGAACTCCAACTGTACTGAACATTTTAGCTTGCTTCAAAAAGATCTGCTACTGAAACTGAATGTTTGGCAATTAATATTTAAAAATTTAGAATTTGACTCAGACATGGAAAAAGAAATTTAAAAACATCTCCATTCCTCAGATTCAGTTAATGCTCATTAACAATAATATTCTGAAGTTAAAATAATAATATACAAAATACATGTATTTAAATATCTCTTCTGAGCTCTTCTTGTTTGAGTGTGTGGATACATGTTTCTGATACCTATCTACAGCCTGATCATCTTGATATTGGGACTTGTTTTGTGACAAATAGAGACAAAATGTGAGGACACATTAATAATCAGTCCTAAACTGATGTTCAGAAAAACACTGACATCTGAAAATTGTAGACATCTGACACATGTGATACAAATGTGAAACACATGTTTTTACAAAAACTTGTTTTAGAGATGTTTCTTAATTTTAGTCAGAATACAAGAAGCTTAATTATACATATTAATTTTTTCCAATCACACTTTCAATTCTGCTTCATTAAAATTTGCCACGACAGAAATGTGTTGGTGAATGAGATAATGCTTTCTTCTTTGAGTTTGCCCATTTTTAAATTCTAATTCTTAGAATGGTGGCAAAAGGGACGAAAATATCCCTGTATCCATGCAGTGCCATTTCAAATGGGATTTGTTCCCACATTTGTTCACTTTGCAAACTTCAATGTGTGACTCTTGAATTGCCATATACTAACAGTAATTTGTACTTATGATAAGAGCTCGTCAGTAATTATTAGTATCCCTATTTCAGTCTTTTTATGCATATCATATTGAGCAAAATTGGTAGACTGAACTTTTTCAACAACAGCAAATGAAGGTATACATGTCCTTAAGTATAAGATTTTAGTTGTCTTAGTTATAAGCAGTATCACTCTTTCGGCTTCTCAGTAAAATCTGTCCCATGGCTTATTTTGTTGCAATGAGTTCATAAAAAATTCAGTTCATTCATAAAGGATAGTGAATGATGCTTCCTTAAACAAAGAAAGCTTGACAAAGTTTCTATAGATTTATGACCTACATGTAGATAATTACTGTCTTCTAACACTATATTTTAAGCTTCAACTATGCCAATAATTTTCAGACGCTAACAAAGTTTCAACTCAAGTCAATAACAAAATTTCAAAGTCAATAACATATACTGGCTAATGTTATATAAAATAAAAATTTGTCCAGATCTCATCAAAACTATAAAAAAAAAAATGCGTAATAAGTTCAATGAATTTCTTCAAAATGATGATTTAAAACGCTGTAAATCATTAATTTTACCTTTCATGCAGTCAGCTATCTCCCTCATTTTCACAAACAAAACTCAGCAATAAAAATCCAAAACCAAATCATTCTTCCCATACAAACCAATACATCGAATATATTCAACTCTCAATAACCTCTAACAATAAAAATATAAATCTGGAAAAATAAGACTGAACAGAAAATATTGTATATATACATATACATGAGCCCACTTTCACTGATAACTGAATATAAAAGTTGTATATTGCATGCCAAAAAGAAAACAGACCAAATTGTACTTAATGGTCTTGATTTCCTAACATAATTCAGTAAAATTACAAAAATTACGTTAAAACAAACAAACACGTTTAAGATACAAAAGCCTGGTTGAAAACAGAGAGACCCCAAAAATACATGTTTGACAGATGAGTAAAAATCTACATGTATATCTACAATACCTTCTGTTCTGTGGAATGTGAGCACCTGTGTATAGGAAGTGACCTACGTTTACACTGACTCGTACCCTGGTACTATACAGATATAGGCACTTTTTATGTAAACTATGCTAGCAGAAAAGGAAATCACTAAAAATACTGTATTACAAATATATATGCATATTTTAGTAATTTCCAGTATTTAATAAAATAAGCAACTTTTTTTTAAAAATCACACAAAGATGTACATTCTCTCATGAATGATACGTACATGTATATTTCATATTCATGTGACGGCAAGAAAAATTTGATTAATGATAGAATGATACTCGCAGACATGTACGTGCACAAATACTCACTAACCATAAACTTAACAAAATAAATGCATTCCAAATGATTTGTCTCGGCATGCCCTAGTAGATCTTGCTGATGTTATAAAAAAAACTTGTTTTAAAAAATATTCAGACCTACCTCGCACTTTTGACAATAATCAACCAAAAAAAAAATTAAACAACTTTTGAGATATCAAATTCTCCTCATTAAATCAATAACTTACATATTAAATTGGACATAAATAATTATAAAATTTTTAAAAAGTAAATATTCCCTACTTGTTAAATCATACTTAGACCTCCCTAACGCAGTTAGTTTTAATTTTTGTCCCATGTTTCTGTCTGACTAGATGAAGTTAATTTTTATCCCGAGCTAGTACTCTCTGAGATCAACTGAGTTTTCCAATCTCCAGCTTCCTAAAGACTTCAGCGGCGGTGAATATACAGGAATCAATGATCCCCGCCACTGTGAATGTTCCCCCAACAATGGCACAAACCTGTAAACAGAAATTAAGGTAAAAAGCACATGTTTTTTAAAATTCTTCTCTGATTTATAAAAACATGAGTTATCTCAGATGAGATGTTTGATTTGATACTTTTAACAATAAGGAATCAGTTCAAGTATCCAGTGAGCTGACCTCAGTCTAGATTACTAATATTACTGTAGTACACTAAACCTCTGCTAGGATAACTTGTATTATTTACTGTGGTAATGAATGGGTTGTAACCTGAATCTAGCATTACTTACCGTGGTAAGGAATGTGTAGAAAGGTTTTCTCTTCTCCTTGTATCTGACTGTAATTGGACTGAGATCGTAGCGGAACCAGATTGCTGGCATCATCCGTCCACCATGGCCATATTGAATAACATCCTAAATAATTGGGAAAATTTAGAACACAAAAAATTACTATATAATCTTACATATATAAAACACGATTTCTTTACAGGTCAAAACTTAGAGAAAGAACTTAACTTCTTGTAATCCCAGAACAGCAGCATAAAGTAACTTCTTGTATATCCCATTTTATCGGTGCCCCCCATCCCAGCCCTTCACCCCCATCCCAGGAAGAATAGCAGCATAAAGTAACTTCTTGTATATCCCATTTTATCGGTGCCCCCCATCCACCCCCTTCACCCCCATCCCAGGAAGAACAGCAGCATAAAGTACATGTAACTTCTTGTATATCCCATTTTATCGGTGCCCCCCATCCACCCCCTTCACCCCCATCCCGGGTTGAACAGCAGCATAAAGTACATGTAACTTCTTGTATATCCCATTTTATTGGTGCCCCCCATCCACCCCCTTCACCCCCATCCCAGAAGAACAGCAGCATAAAGTACATGTAACTTCTTGTATATCCCATTTTATCGGTGCCGCCCATCCACCCCCTTTACCCCCATCCCAGGAAGAACAGCAGCAAAAAGTACATGTAACTTCTTCGCTTGCACATCCTATTTTTTCCCCTAATAAATGCATATTAAAAATCCACTATAGTACCTAATTTACAGTATGCACATATACGTAGGGTAATCTGAGATAAACTTACTATACTGGAGTATTATATTACAGATAATATGAAAAGAAGTCCTTTCCCACCCGAGTATATGTAAAGGTAATAGAAAGCAAACCTATTTCAGCAGAGTATGAGTACAGTTAATACAAAACAGACCTGTATCCCAACCGCGTATATCTGTACAGGTTAAATAAAACAGACCTGTGTATATGAATGTTGGTTATCTGATAGAATTTTTTTCCCCAAAGGAGTTTACTATATGTATGTCATCTTTAACAGACTTAAATCACAGAAATATCTGTGTATAGGTTTTCTAAAACAGACTTATCATACAGAGGAATATGTGTACCATTTGAAACAGAAGAGTTAGTATACAGGCACCCTAAAACCAAGAGAAACCAGTCAAAAAAATGTAATGAATTAATTTACCTAAATGAGTCTGTGCATTAAACTTACCCTGTAATAGTAAATGTATCAGACTTTCCCACATGAGTACAATTACTGCACTAACCCTGTAAGAATATGTGTTATGGACTATTTCTAAAAGATCATATGTATTGAATCTCCTCTTTCAATGGTACCATATTTGTACTAGACAAGTCCTCAAAGAGAATGTGTATACAAAACTGGACTTGCCATGTAGGAGTATGTTATTTGTATCTACATTTGCACTCATCCTATAGCAGTATGTGAATTAGCATTCACAGCTGGACTTACCCTATTGGAATATGAAAACTAGTATCTACATTTGCACTTACCCTATAAGAGTATGTATACTGATATGGATATCGTAGGTTTCCTCTGGAATCTTCATACACTGATGGGACGATTTTCACAATGTAATCATGTGTAGCTATTGCTGTAATAAAGTGCAATGTTAAATGTAGTTTCATACAATATATCCAATACTCTTTTAAAATAGAAATAAATGGGAAGGAAGATCTTCCCCTCTTTTCAAACAATCACTACACACACATTTCTTTCATTCAGACAGTTATTAATCATTTTCATGATCTTTCTTCTAACCTTGTGCTTTGGTCTTATCCAGGCCTTCCATTGGGTTAAAGGAACCAGAAACATCCTGTAACATAAAATAAATAAACATTAAAGACATATTCTGCAAGTGTATGGTAAGCTTAGAGTTTTATTCATTCAGTCTGATAATAAATTAATGATTAATTTGTTCATCGTAGTACACATGAATCCACATGGAACATTGTTATATTCTATCACCTATGTAACCTATCCTTTAATAGACTAGCCAATAAACCCTTCAATTCATATCTTCCCACCCCTACCTTTCCTTCCTGTAGATCCATTCCAAACCGGACTTTGTGGATGAGGTGAGTCATGTCCGGATTATCCGGCTGCTGTTCTGCAGAGTGAGTAGAGACGTGGAAGTTACCAGGCACCTGTTCATGGACAAAAACACAAATTTCTGTCAAATATTTCTTCTCAACAACAAAACTATCTTTTGACAAAGCAATCTTCTCTTCATTATTTAAGATTAGGGTATATTGATACTCTTACATTAACAGTAATTTCAGGAAAATTCATAACTTTATACTTTTTAGGGAGAACATTGCTGAGACATTGAAGTTAAACATGACAGGCAGTTCATAGCGACAAAAAATTGGCAGCACAAATCGAAGGTTTTTACAATGCTTGGACATGTAGCTCTCTGCTTTATCTGTCCAAATTTTCTCAAGCAGAGAGCTACAGATCTGCAGCTAGCTTTTATAAAGATGATTCATCTGTCTAAGCCTACTTACTTTGTTGATGAGGAAGTGGGATTCCATGCGGCACCCTGTTCCCCCATTGACATCAAACTTTTGAGTATTGTCTTGAAAACCCACTTCATGTCTTCCCATATCATCCTGTATGTCAAGTCCTAGATCTGAAATCAGAAATCATTTCCTATAGTCCACAAAGTCCATCTGGTTAAGTTAGACATGATGTAGTTTAAAGATTGATCTCAAAATCAGTAGTAAAAGTACTTCATCATTATTCTTAAATTAAAACATATCAATTTCATAACTTTTTATGCAATATTAATAAAGTGGTGTTGGACTTACATTTACAGTTTAACTTGGGTAAAGTGAGGTTGATGAAGACAGGAATTTTCTCTGAATGTTTGACAGGATCCTCCACTGTCAATTCACTGACTCTGAAATAAATATTTATTACACTGTATAAGCTGATTTAAATGCTAGAGCAAGTTTAGCAAGTAGGTGACGGAAATCAGGTGGTCAGTCAGTACAACAAATTTAACAGTAGGATAACACAATTCAGGACTTACACATCATGGGAGATGAAAAGCGAGAGCTCGGAGAAAAAGAGAAACAGAATAAACAGAACACTGCAGATAGAGATACAGGCACCAGTTAATGTGGGCTGGGTCAGATCCTTAGGAACCTTCCTGTAAACATCAAATCTGAAATATGAAAAAAAGAAATAAATCAACAACCCAAACGAATCACACAAATATGCTATGTATTAAGGATTTCAATGCAATGAACTTTAATGGATAACTGATGTAACATATCAGGGGATATTGGAGAAAGTTTATTACAACAGAAAAATTACACTAAAATAGACAGAATATTGTAATTTGTACAGACACCATGACCAACCTAAAGCAATATCTCTTTTTTAATGATCAATCAAAAATTAATTTAGTTTTTTGTTTTTTTTTTTGTTGGGGGGCAGAAATGAATAACGGAAAAAAAGTGAAGCACCGCTCGTCAATGCAAGCTTTAATGATGACCCCTGGGCAAAGAGAAAAGAAAATCTGGGAATAATGGGATTAATGCACATTCACACAATAGGCCCAATTTTTTTTCTGCAGTAAGTTGAGTAACTCTGGACCCATGATCCTTCGTAAATTGAATCTCGCCGCAAATCATGTTCTGACTGAACAAGTCAATTTATTTTCCAGTTAATCTCTTTTCAGAATGCTTCACAAACAGACTTTTTCTAACTTTGATTTCAAGATATTAAAACAAGTTCATAGTCGACCTGTCAAACCAATCCATCAAATTGGCGATCTACCTCAGTTTTTGCATAGCAATATGCAATATTTTCACACTTAAAATGATAGAATATAAACAAACATGTGTTAAATTACCTTCTTATGTCGAACTGCATCTTGCTAAAAATTCTACAACATAAGATCAACAGCTGCCTTGGGATATGCCAACGTGAAAGGTTTACAACGGAACCGGAAACGCATCAAGTCAATGTAATACGGAAATCGATAACGCTTGACTTAATAAACTCCGAGTGTAGAACGCATTGTGGGGGGGGGGGGGGGTGTTTCTTCTTCGAGTATAGTTTGTCCGCCTCCCCCTTGTTGTCGGTGCTTAGTGCCAGGTCAAGTAATGGTAAATTCAAGATTTTTTTCAAAGTCAGAAAGTGAGAAAAAGCTAGGCTATCACCCCGGAGAAAATAACACGGTAAGGTATAAAACAAAACAGGTTACTTTTTTGTAACTGTTTAAACTTTTTTTGTAAGGTTGTGCCACTTTTTTTTTAAACAGCTGCTATAAACCTTCCACCAGTCCTCTGTCTATTAAATAATTTCGGGAATCTGAAGTGGAAAAGAAACCTTAAAACAAAAACTGCAGAAAGTGCAGACACCCCGCCCCTAATTCTTTTGGCAGTGAATAAAATAATAAAGAATTCCAACACTAACCATCAATAAAATCCATTTTTATTTATCGTAAAATAAAATTGATATTATTTATCTTTATCATTATCAACATGTGGGGTCTTGAGGAAGTAACTTAAATGTGCCCAGAATGCATATACATGTATTGCAAAATATTATACTATTGTAAGCTTGTTTCTAACATACAGTCTCTTATATATAGACAGATTTGTTTCGAATACAGAATTAGGACTATTCTCCCAAAAAATGGGGATGAGGAGTCCTCCTCTCGCACTAGCGACCTGTTTGAAAAGGCGTTATAGCCAAAAATGGAAAGGTGTTACCTTATGTTAATCAATACATGTATATGAAAAATTGAAAAGCCATTTTTATTTATGCAACATTAAAAAGTGTTTTCTATTTTCCTGCACGTTTGCATGAGTAATATTAGAGAATTCAACACTCGTGGAAAATCCAGCTTGGGGCTTATGCTGGCCATGTATTAAACATTCATGTGAAATTTGTATATTTCTCTCCTCTTGGAAAAAAAGCAGGCAAACTATTTGCATGGGTATGCTGAGGAATTAGCCTTCAACTAAATGTGCGAAATCCTTGACCCTTGGTAGAGGTATTTGGCATCAGAAAAGGACTAAGTTAGTTTAACATTGAAAATATATTACACATTTGAAAATCTTTTTTTTTCAGGAAATCTAATCACATTTTGTTTGAATTATTTTATGAGAAATAAGCCCTACATTAAATTGTGAAATTTATGTCCCGAGAGTAAGATTTCAGCCCCCAGGGTGGGCTTGAAGTAAGTCGTGTATTGAAATAAAGCGTATTATAAATGACACATTATTTGGAAGGCGAATAATAACGCCCTTTGGAAAGGAGTATTGGAAAGGCGTAATAACGTCTTTTAAGAGGCCTAATAACGCCTTTTGGAAAAGGAAATGTGTAATAACGCCTTTTCAAAAGGCGTAATTTAATGCCTGTTTTCGCGTTATTACGCCTTTAGTTTTGGAAAGGCGTTATATAACGTATTTTATTTTTTCTCTCCATAGATCGATCCAAATAGACTTTCGTACGATACCCTTGTAAGTAGATTTATATTTTAAAAATCTAGAAACTCCAGATCATCTTCCATTTTTGTTAAAGAATTTAAGCAAAAAAAACGTATCCGGGAATTTTTCTTATGAAAAACCCCGAAGCATTTTTCCCCGATTTCATAATGTCAACATACTGAAAGTGGACTAATTTACCCTTTCTCTCATATACCCCTTTTAAATATATCCTCTTAGATAAGATGGCGTGGCGTTTCCCAATGCCTGTTTTAATACCTGTTATGATCGCGTGTTGCAATCAACACAGCAGTTTTATCGATAAATCAATTAAGCAAAATTATCCCTCGTGTAAAGACAAAGAGATTTTATAAAACACTCTGGGGAAGATGCTTTAACCAAAGGAGACTGCTTAATGTCCAGTGTTAAAAGAAGAAGCGCTCATGTATCGGTGTATATATACACTGATATAAGCAGGGTGTATCTAAACATATCGATTTTGAGTTGGATGTTGTTAGGAAATCTACCCCGATCCTTGTCTTTTCTATCTGGAAACATGAAATGGATTTTGATTCCGACACCTACCTGGATAACATAGGCGGTGAGCATTTTTCGTATATTTCAATGTAACTGAGGAGTATGGCACGCCAAATTCACAAAAATGGTGTGTATTAGTTTACAAACCGTTATATTTAACAACGTTAATTCACATCTGGTTAACGAAATAGTTTCACAACCGAAACAGCTAATCGTCTATATAATTAACGATTTGTAAACTATAGTGATTGGAAGGGTTAACGTTGTTTTATTACAAAATCTATTGTTAACGCTTATTACAGGTTCTAAATCATGATTATACTATTACGGTTTGTAAAAGATATAGTTTACAGCTCCTAACAGATGCCGTGATATCGCCGAGAATTTTTAATGCAGTGATTGGAAGGTTTAACGCTTTTATTACATAAGGGTTTTCAAATTAATGTTTTTTGGAGGGGCATGTTTTAAATAATGGGGGGGGGGATAAATAATTCTTATAAAGACAGAATGGTAATTTAAAAAAACACAACATTAATTTGCTCTTAAATATATATATGACAATAAACATAAAAAAGTTAGTCGCGTTTACTTTTTATTCCCGAGTTACCCGCGTGTTCGAAGTGCTGTTAAGGTGTAAACTTGGTATGCAGGAGAAAAATACATTCTGACAGTTCCTGCGTGAAAGTACAATAAATGAGACGACGGAAATTAGACTGGAGACAAATTAATTGAGTTCTAGTGTTAAGATGCCGATATTTACCGATATTATCCACTATTAAACACCCAGAAACTGTTCTAGCGTGTGTTAATAACTTAAATAATGATAAACTGGCACTGTTCGCGTCATCGGAGATCAGACCGATCTTATCGAAACTCTGCTGTAAACTTTAATATCAAATGGTGCACAACCGAGGCAGTAACGGAGTCAGTCCTTTATTGTAAGATCAGGGGCCGGTAATTGTAATAAAGGACTCGTAAATCGAGGCTCAGCCAAGACAATAGAATTCTTATGTTTGTCATTCCCCATATACCCTGGAATCGACAAGAAAATATATGTAAAAGTATGTAGGGAAATGCAGATATAGTTATCAAGTTGGAGTAATTATGTTTAGTGTTACTTAACATGGGTAAGTTTTCCACTTTCCGACAAAACTTTTTTCATTATTTGAAAGAGAAAGCTATTACAAAGACATTTTATAAATATTCCAACTATAAACGAATGAAACTTTTAATCATTACACATTCAGTAGTTAATGAGTGTTATAAACAGAAGACTTTACGATTAGAAGATTTTTAATGTAATGTCGTCATTAACTTACCGCAGATCAGGCACGTATCTATTCCAAGGCATAAAACTACTCACAAGGGGCAGTCAAAGAAATAGAGGGGTCTCTAATAAAATTATGACATCTTTCACAAAATGATTAAAAAATCAAACAAAAATATCTGTCTCTAATTACATCAGTAGGTACTGTCTATTATTACATCAGTAGATACTGTCTCTAATTACATCAGTAGGTACTGTCTCTTATTACATCAGTAGGTACTGTCTATTATTACATATCAGTAGGTACTGTCTCTTATTACATCAGTATGTAATGTCTCTAATTACATCAGTAGGTACTGTCTCTTATTACATCAATAGGTACTGTCTCTTATAATATCAGTAGGCACTGTCTATTTTTACATCAGTAGGTACTGTCTATTATTACATCAGTATGTAATGTCTCTAATTACATCAGTAGACACTAGGTACTGTCTATTATTACATCAGTAGGTACTGTCTCTTATTACATCAGTGTAATGTCTCTAATTACATCAGCACGTACTGTCTCTTATTACATCAGTAGGTATTGACTATTATAACATCAGTAGGTATTGACTATTATAACATCAGTAGGTACTGGTCTCTTATGATATATCAGTAGGTCTCTCTCTTATTACACCAGTAAGTAATGTCTCTAATTACATCATTAGGTACTGTCTCTTATTACATCAGTAGGTTCTTTTCTTATTACACCAATAGGTATTGTTTGTATTACATCAGCAGGTACTGTCTCTTATTACATCAGTTGGTACTATCTCTTATAACATTAGTAGGAACTGTCTCTTATTACATCAGTAGGTACTGTCTCTTATTATATCATTAGGAACTATCTCTTATTACATCAGTAGGTACTGTCTCTTATTATATCAGTAAGTACTGTCTCTTATTATATCAGTAGGTACTGTCTCTAATTACATAAATTGGTACTGTCTCTTATTACATCAGTAGGCACTGTCTTTTATTACATCAGTAGGTACTGTCTCTTATTACATCAGTAGGTACTGTCTCTTATAACATCAGTAGATACTGTCTCTTATAACATCAGTAGGTTCTTTTCTTATTACACCAGTAGGTACTGTCTCTTATCACATCAGTATGTACTGTCTCTTATTACATCAGTAGATACTGTCTCTTATTATATCAGTATGTACTGTCTCTTATTATATCAGTAGATACTGTCTCTTATTACATTAGTAGGTACTGTCTCTTATTATATCAGTAGGCACTGTCTCTTATTAAATCAGCAGCTACTGTGTCTTATTACAACAGTAGGTACTGTCTCTTATTACATCAGTAGATATTGTCTCTTATTACATCAGTAGGTACTGTCTCTTATTACATTAGTAGGTATTGTCTCTTATTATATCAGTAGGTTCTTTTCTTATTACACCAGTAGGTACTGTCTCTTATTACATCAGTAGATATTGTCTCTTATTACATCAGTAGATACTGTCTCCTATTACATCAGTATGTACTGTCTCTTATTACATCAGTAGATACTGTCTCTTATTCCATCAGTAGATACTGTCTCTTATTACAACAGTAAGTAATGTCTCTAATTACATCAGTAGGTACTGTCTCTTATTACATCAGTAGGTACTGTCTCTTATTATATCAGTAAGTACTGTCTCTTATTACATCAGTAGGTACTG